TGTGGGGTGAATACACTTTGGAGTTACTTAATTACTTATTGGTTGCATTTTTATCATTCTCTGAGTTCAAAGAGGCATTTAAAATTTCAGCCCCCTAGCAGTCCAATACCCCAAAAGACAAGCTTAGGATCCAAAAAGATTTTGACAAACATGAACAATGAGCCCTATCTGACAACATGAACTTTAATGTGGAGAAAAGCAAGGTTCTACATCTAGGCAGGAAAAACCAAAGGTACAAGTACAGATTAGGCGAAACCTGGCTCAAAAACAGTAACTGTGAGAGAGACCTTGAAGTTCTACTGGATGATCACTTAAACATGAGCCAGCAGCGTGTGGCACCAGTCAAAAAAGCTAATACAATCCTTGGTTATATAAACAGAGGCATAGAATGAAAATCACATAAAGTATTAGTACTGCTTTATAAATCCTTAGTAAGACCACATCTGGAATACTGCATCCAGTTTTGGTCATCACATTACAAAAAAGATGTTGAGACTTTGGGGGAAAAGTGCAAAGAAGAGCAACTAAGATGATTAAGGGCCTGGAAATAAAAACATATGAAGAACGGTTGCAGGAATTGGGTTTGGTTGGTCTAGAGCAGTGATGGCGAACCTTTTAGAGACCGAGTGCCCAAAAACTGACCTGCCCCGCCACCCTGCTCTAGCCTGCCCTGCCCTGCCCCACCCCCACCCCACCCGCAGGGCCACCCACCACCTCCATGGCCCACCACATATCGACCAGGCGTCACAGCAGCACCATGGCAGCCATGCCCTCTGCAGCATCATTGGCACACGATGGGGCGCAAGGGTGGAGTCCTGTCCCCGCTGCCCGGCTGCCATGTCTTTGGCTGTGCTGCTCGGTGTGGGCCGTGTCCGGGGGCAACTCTCCTCCGGGGGAGGCTGCTGGTGAGGAGGGGGGCACGGGGAGAGGAGGGCTGGGGCGACGGTGCATGTACCCACAGAGAGGGTTCTGAGTGCCCCCTCTGGCACAGGTGCCATAGGTTCGCCACCACTGGTCTAGAGAAAAGAAGGCCTAGGGGTGACATGATAGCAGTATTCTAGTATTTGAGAGGTTGCCACAAAGAGGAGGGGGTCGACTTATTGTTCAAAGCACCAGAAAGCAAGACGAGAAACAAATGGATGGAAACTAATCAGGGAGAGAAGCAACCTGGAATTAAGGGGAAACTTCCTAACACTGAGGACAATTAACCAATGGAACAGCTTGCCTTCAGAAGTTGTAGGTGTTTCATCACTGGAGGTTTTTAAGGAAAGACTGGATTGAAACGGTATAGGGTCTCCTGCTTGAGCAGGAGGTTGGACTAGAAGATCTCCAAGATCCCTTGTGGCTCTAGTCTGACTAAAATGACCGATTCACAGTCATCCTGGAATTTTGGTGGTCTACTGCTACCTGTGGCTGTCTGTGATCTCCAGCTGTGACCGTACCACACTGCTGATGCTCCGACGATACGTTCTGTTCAGCCAGTTGCCCACCACTCCCAGCCCATAGTAGCGCTTCTTGCGGTCAAAGGCAAAGTGCTTCACCCTGGAAGCAATCCGAGTGCCCCTCTTAGGAGCAGAAGCTTTTTGTTGGAGGCTTTTGAGGGCAACAGGTCCTACATGCCTGCAGAACAAGAAAGGACATATTTGAAAACTCAGCATGAGTTTGACTGCAGAGATACATGTAGAATTATTCCAGGATGCTAAGAATTAATTGTGTTCTGCAAATGTTACTTGATCTCAGTAAATGTCTGCCTTTGAAGTATTATGAGCCCAATACAATGCAACAATACAGGTAGCCCTCGATTTACAATAGATCGTTTAGCAACTGTTCGAAGTTACAACGGCACTGAAAAAAGGGACTTATGACCATTTTTCATGCTTATGACTGTTGCCGCATCCCCATGGTCACGTGATTTACACTCAGATGCTTGACAATAGGTTCATATTTATGACGGTTGCCGTGTCCTGGGCTCAGGTGATCACCTTTTGCGACCTTCTAATAAGCAAAGTCAAAGGGGAAGCCAGATTCACTTAACAACCAGGTTACTAACTTAACAACGGCAGTGGTTCACTTAACAAATATGGCAAGAAAAGTCATCAAATGGGGCAAAACTCACTTAACCAATTTCTCACTTACTAACCTAAATTCTGGGCTCCATTATGGCTGTAAGTCGAGGACTACCTGTAACTGGTTCTCTTTTTTGGCTGCCCCCACCCCAGTACATTTTCTTTTACAGTGACTACTTTATGCAGAAAAAGATAAGAAGATCAATAGGAGCAGTTGATTGAGTTAAGTTCAATCTCAAGCAGAAAATTCGTTCTGGGAAATGATAAGACGACCAAGATTCTATTACATTCAAGTGTCTCGTTTGATTCTTCAGTGCATCAGAGTTATTCATCTGAATTTTTAATATAATCTTTCATATCTCCCTCTATGTTTGCATTAATCTTTTCCTCTTTGTATCTGTCACTTTCTCTACAACTCTTAGATGCAAATGTCTTCAATATTTTAAACAAGCAATTCAAGTGGCCAATCTTGTTTCAAAAGGCTATTTTCCTACTTCACATCCTCTCTATGCCCTGTCTTGCATCCAATCCCGTGTTCCGAAGCTTTCACTTTCTGAGCAAAGATATATTGATAGCCGATTACTGGAAAGCTATTTAAAATTGTCTTTTCGGGGAAAGTAATATTTATATTCATAATAGAAATGTCATCTCCATCCTTCAAATACTGGTCAGGATGATGTACTGCATAAAAAATCTTACAAGTGCAAGACATGTATCTAAAATCCAGTCCCAAAGCAGCAAAAACTATGAGCAGTTTATAGTTCATTGGCAGACAAAACGGAAACACTTTATTTTAGGATTATTTTAAAAGTCTTCCTGCGACAAAGTAGCATTTTCGGAAAGAAGAATCCAAAACAAGAATGCCATAGCGGAAAAGAGTTTTTTCTCAGTAGCTACGCATCACCTCTAAAGTAGGAAAGCTTTGTTTCCAGGTGACTGTGGCAACAATAGCTCACATTTGGTAACATAAATCAGAGTACACTTCCTATGAACAGGAGGCTAAGTCTCTGTTGTATCAGTCCAAATGGGTCTCCAAGACTCACTGGAAAGGTTGGTCAACTTCTGGTGACTTGCTATCTTCTTGTAAGGGAAGCCCACGGTAGTAAGTAGCAGAGAGCGGTGGGGATTCAAATACATCATCTTGCATGGAGCACATCTCCTCATGTGCGTCAACCTGTTAAGAAAGGGGAATTATTACTCGTGGCCTCATTTAAAATGAGAATTGTAGATATTGTTTAGTGAGGGATCCAGTCGTTCCGGCAAACGTCATTTTTATCTATATATCTACTCATACACACCTTCATAACATCTTATAGAAAAAGCAGCAAATGGGGCTAAGGCAGGGGTGTCCAAACTTTTTTCAAAGAGGGCCAGATTGGATGAAGTGAACGTGCTGGAGGGCCGAACATTTTTCCGAACATTCTTTGAACCATTACAATTAAATGCAAATGAATTATTTTATGCCTCTTTCCTCTCCCTCTCTTTCCTCTTTCTCTCTCTCTCTTTCCTTTCCCTTTCCTCTCTCCTCTCTCTCTTTCTCTTTCCTCTCCCCCTCTTTCTCTTTCCTCTCTCTTTCTCTTTCCTCTTTCTCTCTTTCTCTTTCCTCTTTCTTTCCTCTCTTTCTCCTTTCTTTCCTCTTTTCTTCTCTTTCCTCTTTCCTTCCTTTCTCTTTCCTTTCTCTCTTTCCTCTCTCTTTCCTTTATTTCTCTTTCCTCTTTCTCTTCTCTTTCCTCTTTCTTTCCTCTCTCTTTTCTCAATCTTTTTTCTTTCCTCTTTTTCTCTTTCCTCTCCCCCTCGCTTTCTTTCT